TTAGCGCATAAACTTTCATAGCTGAATCAATAAGCTGAAGATCCTCATACGTCGAAACCGACGGAGAGTCTATTATATATATATATATATATATATATATATATATATATATATATATATATGTGTGTGTGTGTGTGTGTGTGTGTGTGTGTGTTTAGGCAGAAAATTCTCTTTAGACATATCTGATTGAATAAATTCCAAACATTATACCTGCTTATTTTTATCATAATCCTTTCATATTCACGAATATTTTCCGTATATTACAATCAAATGAGGCAAGAAATGCACTGCTAGAGAAATCATTGACAATATTATTAAAAATATATACAACAATTCATCTCTCCCTCCATTAAAAATTAAACTTAGGATGCTAAGAAAATTACTTTTAACCTGTACCCATGGATCCGAATAAGAAATAAAATTAATCATATATTATACAAAATACGACACTGAATAGAATCAGGTAAGAATACTGTAATAATGTTCTAAAATTCCTATAAAAAGAACAGTTTTCACGTTTTAATGCGCGCTCAACCATAATATTCAAACATAAAAGAAAAAATTCCATAATGGATAACTTTTCACGTTCTAATGGACGCTAAAGCATAACTGTCAGCCAAAACATTTAAACGCAAAAACAAAATCAGTAATGGATAGTTACACATAGTTTCAGCCTGTAAGCCAGCCCACGCCACCAGTAGCAGCAGTAGCGGTGAACGACAAAAGCAGAAGCAGATGAAAACGCTGACGGAGCCTGGAAGGAGGTTGTAAATGGAAGGAAGGGGAACAATGTACCAGCTCCCCACCCCCCAAAAGGAGAAGCCTCAACCACCACCAAAGCAGCAGGTGGAAAAGAAAAAAGGGGAAAAAGAAATGGTGAAAAAACAGTCGCCCCCAAAAAACCCACAGAAACAGCAGCAGCAGCAGCAACAACAACAACCACAGCAGCAGCTACCAAAGGAACAAAGAGACAGTCCGATGGAAGTTGAACACATGCCTCCACCTCGAGTGGCGTCTCTGAAGAGGTGCAGAGAAGAGGAGGAGGAGGAGGAAGAGCAAGAAAGAAAAACACAAAAAAGTTGTTCTGGTCGTAGCCGGGCGGAACGCAGTCTGGTCAAAACCAGGAGGCTCTCCTTCCCGGCTTCGCCAATTAGATCGTCCTGCTCTCCTGGCATTAGGAGCTTTCCTTCCTTCCCTTCCCCAAAAATACATCCCCTCTCCCTCCACATCTTCCCCAAGTTCGTTGAACACACCACCACACACGTCCACCTCTCCCCCCCCCATCCTGCTAGTGAGAAAAAGAAGAAAAAGAAATTGTTTGAGGGGCCCTGAGTCAATTTGTAAAATTGACAAAGAAGAGTACATAAGGGCCTGTCCAAACAAAAAAGAAAGCCCTGTTGAGGTGCTGTACAAAACGACGGAGGTGGACGGCAAAGTGTCGAGGACCCCCCGTAATTTCCCAAAGGTTCCAGGTGTCATTACCTGTGTCAGAGACAATGGTGGCTACCTAAAAGTGTGGAGCCACATATTCGAGGCCAAGGAGGCTTTTTCCGAACATTAGAATGTGTGAGTTGGACAACCCCGACTTGAAGAAACTGCGCAACTTTTTGCTCTGGAGGGTCCTGTTTTTAGTTCACCCCTCCTTATATAGGGATATTAAATTAATGTACCCTATTGACGTCGGCGGTATTGTCCTGGGCGATCGTATGACGACTGAATTGGGCACTGGTAGTCTGGGACAATCCGTCGGGGTCCTGCTCAACGCAGATTTCCTCCCCGTATGTGTATAAGGTTTTTGCGCTTATTCTTTTTGCAGGCCTAGACGATGGCAATTAAGTTAGCTACACTGAATGTGAATGGCTTGAGGGATCGGGGTAGGGCTGCCCGCCTGCTCCGGGACCTGTTGTCCTTTGATGTGGATGTCGCCGCGATCGAAGAGACCCACTTTGTTTGCAGTTCCGATTCGTGTGTGCTGGAGGATGACTTTGTCGTTTATTCAGCAAATGGGGACTGGTTTGCAGAGGTGTTTCTTTGGTTGTCAGGCGTACTCTCGATGCGAAGGTGGACCTTGTGCATACCGATGCAGAGGGCCGGTTGATCGTGGCCGATAATGCCGTGAAAGTGGTTCGTTCCGGGTCGTTGCGGTTTATGCGCCCAATGACCAGGGAGAGCAGGTCTCATTCTTTCGGCGGTTGGGGCCGTTCCTGGTGGATTCAACGCGCCTAATTTTAATGGGGGACTGGAATGCCATCCTGGACCTCAAGTTAGACAGGGGGCGGGGTGCTAGCGGAAGAGGGGGGCGATCGCAGCCTGGTCGATCTGATCGACGATTATAGTCTCGTCGATAGATACCGGGTCGATCATCCCGAGGGAAAAATGTGGACGTGGGCTCTTAATTGGCCTTTTGACAAGGTGGTTAGCTACCTTGACAGAATGTTAGTGAGAAGAGCCGACATAGAACTACTAGATTGCCCTACGTTCCACTGGGTAGGCTATTCAGATCACAAACTCGTTTGTGCACGGGTAGCGTTAGACAATAGGCCTAGAATGGCTGGGTACTGGAAGTTCAATCTGTCTTTACTGGACAGGCGGGACTTCCAGGAGCAGATAATTAGACTAGTGCAGCGGGAGCTAGTGGGGGGCGGTTATCGGGAATAGATGGTGGGAACGCCTTTAAATGTAGGATTAGGTCCTTCACCACTGATTTCAGCAAACGGCTCGATCGAGATAGAGCTGAAAAGGTGAAGACGCTTAAAGTTATTTATTCCCGGGCGGTGGCTGGGAGGGGGGATCCCCTAGAGATAGCCTTAGCTAAGGAGGCCCTGGATCAATCGAATAGCGAGCGGTACATGGGTCAGGTAATTAGACATAAGTTAAGCAAGATGTCTTCCGAAGCCGTGAACTTGGGCGCAGATCTGCGCAGGGAAGAGGTCCGTCGAGGTGGCGATCGTTACATTCGTGAAGTCAAATCCCCGGAGGGGCGTACTCTTCGGGCCACTGACGACATGTGCGGAGCGTTTCGGCGCCATTTCGAAAACCGGTTTACCAAGGAGCCTGGTCTCCGTGAGGACGAGTTTCGTAGCTATTTATTGACTTTCCTCGGCTTTCGCCGACTGGAAGCGGCTAGCTGCGAGGGAGAGATTATGGAGGGCGAAGTCTACGCGGTGTTGAAGAAGGTCGGCAGAGGCAAGTCGCCCGGTCTGGATGGTTTGCCCTATGAATTGTACTTGAGGCTGTCGCACATCTTTGTTCCGATTTTGACTGCAACAACTGGTTTCGTCGGGATCCATCCCAACCGGATCATCAGGTTTCACTCTGGAAAAGGGCAAGGGTGTTGGGGAAGCGGGATCCATCCCCTAAACCGGAAAGATTATGGCATCCTGCAGGAGCGTTTGTCATTGCCGACTCTGTTGAAAGAGGGCAACAATTCAGAGTGTCCGCACGGGGGAAGCCGCGCTGATCAATGGATCAGTCCAAGGCCCATTTGAACTCGACCATCGCTAAACCTGCAGGCCGCTGGAAAGCCATTCTGCCGCTGGATTAGCCTCCTGATCCTGTGCAGGTGAACGCGCGTTTGCTGTCTGGGCAGCCGGTCAGGGGTTGCCGAGTCGCCTCTCCTTTATGCTTTGTTGCCTCTCCTTCGCCGGCTGAAGGACCCGGCAGTCCGGCCCTACGGAATTGCCGACTTGTTACGCCGATGAGGGGTGTCGTCCCGCAGCGACATTGAGGCGGTACAGAGCAACCGGTGCATCTGATAAAACCGCGACAATCATAGAATGTGGAACGCTCCCCTTGGGTCCTATTCTTGGTGTGGTTTGGACCTCCAGCTTTGGTCTGAGTGTACCTAGTTAATGTGAGTAAGGTTGTTTCTGGCCTGCATCCCGGTCCGTTCTTTGTAAGACCCAAGTCGAGATTCCCCAACCTCCCCAGTTTGTTTTGTCATGGGGACCCCCCCGAGTCACATCCGATGCCCTCTGGTTGGCTTTCTCGACTTGGTCAGTTTTATATTTTCCATTCCATCCCCCATATTTTATAAACCCCGATTTTTTCCCCGGTCCAGAGGACCTTTCTCGGCCTAGGAAGGTTTCTATCCAAGGATCCCCCACGAGATATGCTCGGCTTGTCGGAGGAGATCGCTTCGTCTCTTGATTTTGTCCCCTTTCATATGGGGCTTGGCGAATACACGGTGTCTTAGAAGAAACTCTGTTTTATGGGTTGGACCCCTTTATGGTCCCTACGGCTAACATCAATTATGTTTAGTTTGAAACGAATGATGATTTGTGTTTATTTTTGGACGACGTTTATTAAGATGAAGATTAGATCGGTTCATTTCTCCCTCTCATTTTATCATTATTAGAATTGTATATATATATCATCATTAAAATTTTATATTTATCCCTTAAAATTCTCAGAGGAGAGAGCGTCTCTTGATTTTGTCCCCTGGGCAGAATACAGGGTCTCTCTGTTTTATGGGTTGGACGGTCCTTACTAACATCAATTTTTTAGTTTGTATTTGGTTTCTCCTTCATTTTATCATTATTAGAATTGTATATATATATCATCATTAAAATTTTTATCGCATGGGCGCGATTTTGGTAGGTCTCCCTTGAGAGCACGTGGTATTATGGTGGTTGAAGTATTGGTGATGGACGAGTTCTTTTGGTGAATGGGTAAAATGTAATGTACGAATGGGTCGCGAATCTGATTAGCTAGGTATAAGATAGATAGTGTTGACCAGCCTCTACCCCTCCCCTTTATTGGCCTCGTGGCACAATTTGTACTTTTTGTATGAATAAATACCAGTTACACATAGTTTTTGCCTTACTAGTTGCACCCCTGATGATAATCTCAGAAAGAGATGGAAAGTACTTAAGAAATAAAAGAGATTTTCACTGTTACAGTGCATTTCTTGCCTCATTTTATTGTAATATATGGAAAATATTCGTGAATATGAAAGAATTATGATAAAAATAAGCAGATATAATGTTTGTAATTTATTCATGCATATCTATCTATCTATCTATCTATATATCTATCTCTTTCTCTCTCTCTCTCTCTCTCTCTCTCTCTCTATCTATCTATCCATCTATCTATCTATCTATCTCTCTATATATGGTGATTTCCTAAGCGTAGGTTAGATGTGTCAAAACGCCTGACAGATGAGGCAAAATATGAGGATCGAACTCACTACTCAATCGCAATTGTTCTAAGCAGACAAGTTTGCCAACCATGACACCATATTGAGCTGCCCATATATGTATATGTATGTGAATGTGTGGTGGGGTGCGAGAATGTGTGTGTGTTTCATAAGAAAAGGTTCAGTTAATTACCCACATTCATGAAACTCGTGCTA